TGATGGTGGGATTGTTGTGGACACGCCTGTCGGCTCCAGAGGAGCTGGAGGCCTGACTGTCCAGCAGGGGCAGGAACATACAGTTGTCCTGATGACATGATCCTGCAAAACAAAAATTTCAGACACACAACATGTTCACAAGACACAAAGTGGTGATCATAGTGAGAGTCTACAGTCGAATCATAATACAATCTGCTTATGGTTATCAGAGGATAAATGTAATAGCTTGTTTGTTCAGATCAGTAAAATTAGTGGGTGATCACAGTAGTCCTGCTCCCTACCTATCCCTCTCAAGTTACTGCCCTCATACATTTTTAACACTTCTCTTACCCCTCTGTTACTTGACACTAATGGGTAACAATAAGATCTCTGGCTTTCCAAAAGCAGCTTTGGAATTCATCTGACTGGGTTAGAGTTTTATTTAAAACCTGTTAACTGAGAGAAATGTATAATAACAACACACATAATCTTACTAACACACACTGTTGTACTGTTGTTGTAAATACGAAGAAATAAATGATAAAGTAATGTTGCTCCTCTGACAATGTGGATGTATATAAAGGGAATATCAACATAATAAGAAGAAAATGGCTTAATGCATGATACAAATACCTTTTTGTCCTTTTTGTACATATCCATTGAGCCATTGTGTTGTAATAATTGCTTGATTACATAATATTGAGGCTGCCATTCTGAATCCCAAATACAGGTCACTGGCAGGGTTAACCAAGTTAGCTTACAATAGTACATTTTAATTGGTTTACAAGGGAAAAATAACTTCTACAGTCAGAGATTTTCATTCAGTGTGTGCTGATGTGTGCTCCCTCCCTCATGTGTACATTCAGCTTCATTAAGACCAACAGGAAGAGCTGCGGGGCAACACTCAGAGTCCAAACAACATGACTCACAAACATTCAGAGGTACTTTACATCTCAGAAATGATTCTCCGCAGGTTCAACAGCAACATCTCCCTTTAGCATTTCTTCTTGATGGAGAAGACAACACACGGCTGCCAGACATGCTGAGTATTTTATTGAAATGCTAAATTTTGAATGTGCACAGTTTAGTTCATGACAGTGGCAGAATAACTACCAGAGGGCTGTGTAACGCAAACATGCAAGAATGGAGGGTTTCTTAAAGCTGTTGTCGGTTCAGTGTACGTAAAATTACTTAGTCAACTTTCTGTGATGCTTCACTGACAAACACCATTAACAGAGATCTTTGCAGGTGAAGGTCAATGAAGTAATAGTGACATGGAAATTGTTGTGTTTAGGTTACCAGAGCTCTGGACAAGCTCTCCCCCTGAAATGTGCTTAGTCCATTACAGCTGTGTAGTCTAAGTGCAGTAATATGCTGTCCTGAAGATTTCCGAACTCTATAGACACTAGGTAGATCGATTGATGAGCAGGTACTTCCTGCACGTACTTCCTGGCACATTGATTATTTATTTAAACAAATATATTTCAAAGCCCTGATCACAAAATTCCTCTCTCAAGAAACCGTGACTCTGTAATGAGATGTTGAGGAAAGTGTGACTCCATTACCCATGTAATTTATCCAAGCATATACAACGAGCACCATGGCCAGAATGGCTGCCAAATACTATTACCATGACAATAAATGTCACAAACACATCCTGGGCTTATTGATAAGCTGAGAGGATTTGATAATACAATAAATGTATGCCTATAAACACTTTACAATATGGAAATGTCAGCAGCTGATGAAGAAAATGTAATTTTGTTTGAGTGCAGCCAGGTCTCCGACAACTTCTTAATTGAATAAAAAGGGCATCAGTGTTTATCTCTTTAATACATATAAGCTAAAGGGGGTACATCCAGTCTGGAGGGCAGTTATACTGCAGCATTTCCATTACATGATGGGCACTCCAACCTGGAGTGTCTTACATCTCTTAAACAGCTTACATTAGTCAACAATGATTGCTTAAGGCTACATAAATCATAATACTCTTGCCTCCTTCTCTAATCCAGTGTGTGGAAATCAAATTTTGGGTTCTTTCAGATGAAAAGAAATGTTGAGATATGCCAAACTGCCTTAAGAAGCAAACATTAAAATTATGTAAAAAGTATCTTTACTTCCAGCAGACTGCTGCAGATTCTCTCCAAAACACCACAGAGGGCTTTTATTGACAGGAAAGTGAAACTTGTGGTGGTTATTTAGTAAAACTGCATATTCTGCAGCCAGAAAAGGAGAGTGAATATTGCTTTCCTAAAGAAGTCACTAATGCAATACACAACTTCCTTTATGTTGTAATGCTTTCATTAAATTCATGAATAGTGAGAAAGTAGAAGAGGATTAAAATCAGATTTTCACAAATGTCTTCCCAGGGAGCTTCCTGCGCACAACTCCTGTGCTAGTCTGAGGAGATCTAAACCAGATTCAAATGCTTGATGATTTATACTATGGTAGACACTTCACCCAGCTTCCAGCAGAGCCACCACGTCACAGTTTGCCCCCATGTCCCTCTCCGAGTCTCTGCACACCACTGAACATTATCCACATGGCTCAACAAAGATGAAAACACTGTCCTATTAGCTATCAGGACATAACCACAGTTTCTGCCATTTTCATCTTTGCCTAGGGCAGTGATGATTTAGAAAAGCTAATAAAAGCCACAGCATTCATGCATTACAGAGCTCATTAAACTGAATGATGCTGGGCATGTTTGCTGGATTTCCCTAGAAAACTGTCACGCTCTCCTTTCTCCAGTCTGTGGCTGTGACCACAGACTACACAGAGAATACTGTGAGTCCTATGAAAACATGTCAGTAACAGAATGTAACCCACACAAAGTGATCGGTGCGATTTAAATCTATTTAATATAAAGGCACAACCACTTAAAATGAAATGAAAATGTCTTGCGGTCCTGTGTGCCCTTCTTAAAAAACTGTAATTGACTAATAGCCCCATTGACTGCCTGTTCATTTATTCATTCAATATCTTCATAAATAAATCAGTCCTAAAGGATCATTTTACATCAAGTAGATAATTATTATGTTTTATATTGTACTGAACTCTTCTGCACTCGTCACCTACACATGTAGCTTTTATAGTATTTTACTTTACTGTTTTAGTTTTATAAATAACATATGCATCAGATAGACACTAAAAGTGTACTTTAGTATAGCAGTAGTAGTAGAAGTAGTAGTCCAATAATGTCTGCTAGGTACATATCACAAACAAAGATGGTTTCATTTAAGTTGCAGGGCAGAAGGTGTGTTCAACATGTTACATTAACAGGTTGAACAGCAGTTGAATATTGTCTTTTAAATAAACTGACTGCATAACACTTCATAACAAACTAGAAGATGAGTAAAGTAAATAACATAATATATCCAGATAACAGATCAAATTCAGTATTCAGTAGCTACTGAATCATTTTAGTTGCAGTGTTACCATCAACCCTAGGTCAACTATAACTCAGTGTGCCTCCTTCAAAAGTGAGTTAAACCTACCTGAGGAGCTGCCAAGAGCGTGCGACACTTTGACTTCCATTGCATGTATCGACTCTTCAGTACAAATCCCCCATCTATAAGTTTCTGGGTGACAACTTCTGAGTGACCGAACGACAAAAGCTGTGTAATCTCATGAGCCTGCCATTCCCACAGTGCAGCACTTTGAGTTGTGAAGTAGACCAAGCAGTGCAGCGGTGCAAGATGGATGGGTGGAGTTTGTAGTGTTGTCGGGTGAAATGGTGTACAACATTAAACTCTCAGACTATTGATTGTAGAATATTGATTTGACGGAACTGCTGTATGGAGAATCACTCTCTTCACATGGAGCTTTCTCATTAGTGACTGACAAATTACAAGAGAAGAGAGTCTGTCCACTCTCTCAAAGGAAGGTTGGATTTGAATTTGATTACTTATATTGGCATACTCTGCTATTATGTGGGTTAAAGACTCTTCACCTGAATTGGTTATTCTGTATTTTTATATTGTAATGTTACTGGCTGGAAGTCCCCATAGCAAGTTTTCTTTCGTTATGCCCCGTTTACCTTGAATCTATCCCATTATAGGAATCCAGGACATGTCTTCAACCGGCTATATTATAACCCTCTCTGAATTTATTATGCAATTTGTGAATGAACAGCACTCTAACCCTCAGTACGCGCTGTAAAACCTGATGAAAAAGTTCAACTCAATCTGTTTGAGGAAAACGATCGCCTTAAACAGTTTAAATTTATTAACTCCAACAATTTAAGCATGAATGTTTTTTTTTATTGAGTACAGGTAAGTAATTTATTGTTAGGATATGGTAAATTAGGTTAATTGTACTTAAAACTAGTAAGTATATTACACTCATATGCAGCACTTCTCCAAACTCATTTAAAATGTGTTAACAGAATTTATCTGAATAAAGTAAGACTAACCTAAATGCATATTCTTTATACAAATGTTACCACCATTTACTCCGTTTTAGTACATTACCTCAAAACAGCTAAAAAAAAATAATATTTACAATTAGGCTAATTGATTATCAAAGTGGTAGCCAATTAATTTTAGAGCTTTGGGGCTTACATTTTTGTAATTATATAAAGCCGATTTAAAGATAACTAGTCCGTAGAACAAGCTGGGATTATATCACCAATACTTAAGATAATGCACAAATTTAAGTGCACTCAAAACAATTTATAAATTCAACAGTTCATTTTTGAATTGGGTTTAATTCGTGGGATTAAGAGACTCAGAGTTTTATGGAGGATTAAGTTAGTTTACTTATTTTATTAAGCTATGCTGTTAGTATTTACAGTGTTGGTGGGGTTAGGGTTATATATATATATATATATATAAATATAAATATATATTTATATATATATTTATAAACACTGTTAGTGGTTGGTAGTCATGGGTGTTTTATTATCGTTACCATGGAGACTAATACCTTCGTTTTGTCCACAAGGTGCTGCTGTTGGACCAGATATGAAGAGACCAGCGTGTCGTCTCCACCCACCTCTAGTCACACACTGAGCTATGTTCAAAACCTATACACACTGACTACAACTAATACATTTTAACACACAGTTAAGACCACTGCTGTTTACGATTGAGGTACTGTGAAGAACAGCAGCAGCCTCGCAGTCTTCTGATTGCTTGACACGGCGGTTAGGTTACTGTTGTGTTTGTAGCATGCTAGCAGTAGCTCCGCGGTGTTGAACACACCCTGGTCGATTACTCAGCCAGTTGAACGCTGACCAAAACAAACTCAAGGGGAAAATATTCGGCTTAGACGTTTCAAACAGATATTTTCCAAATGCCGAGGCGATTAAACAAGAGGTGTGAGGAGAACTAATTGATGTGCCGGCTAGGTGGCTTGGGAGAAGTAACGTTAACTAGGCTTGTAGTGTTAGCTTGAGCTAGCTATAATGCTAACAGTTAGCTAACGGTAACGGTATGTCAGACGAGCCATCAGCTGGGAGGAGAAGCTGCTGCTGCTGCTGCTGCTGCTGCTGCTGCTGCTGCTGCCTTAATTATCAGCCCAGCAATTTGAAACTGGCTTGTCAGCTAGTGAGATAGTTTAGCTGCCTAGTTAGGCTCAACCGAGACACAGATATAACTCATTTTCTACGTTTCTTTTTCTGCCCCGCACAACAACTGAAGTATGGGGATGTGCTTACCGTGCCTCGGTGGAGCAGCGGACGACGTTGTTGTCACTCCGGATCCAGTGAGTTGATTTACTGAAACTTTTATCACCATGTAAAGTCATATTGTGGGAGTTATATTTTCCTGTACGACATGGGAATTGAACCTTGGCTCTACGTGAATGTGACTAACAACAATGTGTCGGACAGCAATAGGCCCTACAAGGTAGTGTTGAGTAGGCGTCGACCGTGTTGAGCCTCTGTAAACAGTGACATGTTGATTATGCTCCAGGGCCCAACTCAGTTTGTTTCATGAAGACAGGTTGCTTTCATTTGCAGCTTACAAGTTTTCTGTTTGTTTGTTTGTTTTTGTTTTTGTTTGTACAGGATACAAGAAGACGACAGTTAGCTGAGGCCGCCGAGAAGAGACAAAAAGAGGTAATTTATTTCAATATAACGTTATATGTTTTTTGGGTCTGTTTGTCTGTTGTGTCAAGTGTTAAAACACTGTTAAGATAGTGTATTAATACACTTGGTTGTTAGATTATTTGGTGCTATAACTAAAACTAATGTCTTCTAGTAGGGCTGTTTAATGCAATAAATCCTACCATCATGAGGGATTTTTGTTGTTTCGTGTATTATTGTGTACTGAGGTGTTTCTAACATTGATCTACTATTAAATTAATCACCAACTATTTTTATAATAGATTAATCAGTTCCTTGTGTGTGATTTTTAGCTTCTTAAATGTGAATAGTTTCTTCAGTCCTTTATGAGAGTAAACTGGGTTGTGGATGTCATTTTTCACCATTTTCACCTTTTTATGGGCCAAACAACTAATCAATTAATCAATAAAATGAAGGACAAGTGAGCTGATTGTTAGTTACAGCCCTGCTGCATTAGTTTAGCTAGATGTACCTAATAATCTGGTAACTTTGTTGCATTATGGTAAATATATACACCCCATTCAAGGTAGATGCACTTGACAGAGTGCTGAGTGATTTTTTTATTGTACAGAAAAGCCACTTGCACACCCGTAAGAGCCATGCTAAAGTTGTATCAAGGTAAGTATACATTGACCAGAATGAAAACTATTCTTGGCCAGGTGAATCTTTTGGATTGGCTGATATCTCCACTACCACATATTTCCGCTCCAAGTCACCGTTTTCATCTTTAAATGTCCTGACACCCTGATAATCCACACTTTTACTGCCGCAGAAGAAAGCATTGAGCCCTAACCCACAGTCACGTTACAGATCGCTGCTCCATCCTGTATCTTAAATGCCTTTTTTGGCAGTTGAATGCCCTTTTGCTAGATGCCGTGTGCTTTTTTTTTTTTAAAGGTTGTGGTAAAATTATTGATTAAAAATGCAGTTGGAAAAACATGCATGTTTTTATGACTGCTTGTACATATTTTTAACATATAAACAAGATAAACCTTTTTTGCCTGTTAGTGCTTGAGCATATTCTTCTCTCTTTTTCAGACAACATACAGGGGGGTTAAAAATCCAGAAGCAGTTGAGAGGAAAAGGAAAAAACAAGAAGAGATTGAGAAACAGGCGATGACCACGTCTGTGTCTGGTGGCGGCGGGTTGAAGGTTAGTTTTTTTGTTCATCTTCATAAATAAATAAATATAAGCAGGTACAGATAGTGACATGTCAAAAGTTTTAATCTTTGTTCTATTGGTTCTGACTGAGACTGAGAGTTTTCATGTATAAGTTTAAACATTTTTAGATCCAAAGCAAGACAAATTTGATACTTAATTGATACCTAGTACAGATTTGGTTGTTTGTATAGCTGACTGATATTAACAAATTGAATATTTAAGTCATTTTGAGCAGAAATATTTATTGGTAATATCATTTGTTGGTGAGAAGACTTCAAGAGCATATTTCCAAATAGAAAATCATGTAAATGATCACTTGTATTGTGGGAACCCCTGCTAAACAGATAGTGGGTACAGGTAGATGCATTTAGTGTTTTACATACATTTTTTAAAAATGTATTATTCAGCTGTCATCTTAAACTGTAATCTCGTAACCTTAAACCCAGTAAGAGGTAACATCAAAATATAACACTAACCAAAATTTCCAGATAGTCTCATATGTTGATAGATATTATATTGATTTATCAACTACAGTTATTTTATAATGACTAAAGATTGTTCTGATTGTGTTTTTCTCTTTGTTTTTTAGTGGCAGGTGGGCTGAAAATCTCGATGGTAAAACCTAAAGTCTTGACTCTGAAGTCTGAAACAACATAAATAATTGCTGCAAGGTGACATGAAAGATGTTTGAACTGCTGTCCATTTTTTAATTAACTTTTTTTGCCTATTTTATGATGTTATGAGACAAACGGTTACAATTGCTTTCATGCAAAACAATCTGAAGTGATCACAGTCCGAACAGCAGGACCTGCTCTCTTGTTGCCAAGTTATACAAGCCGGTGTGGACCTTTGGACATGTCAGGGATGACACAGAAATGTGCAAGCAAATACATGTCCGACTGTATTAGTTTTATTTAACAATGGGGATTAGGCAGTCTTAACATTAGACAACACTAAAGAATGTGGTTGTAAAGTCCAGGTCTCTGGTGACTGTTGTCATATTAAGACAAAGTTGTCCTCAACACTTAAGCTTTTTCACTACTCCGCTTTTTGGTTTTCATACATGAGGATCAATTCACTGCAAATCCACATTGGCCACGTTACTTTTTATATGACTTCTCCAAAAATCCGTTATTTAAACGATACATTTCACAAGTTTATGTTTACAGAATATTTTAAGTGTGCTTATTGTAGGATTAGTTAACAGTAATAACCACCCAGTTATGAGTTGACACTCATTTCACCTTGTTTAGGGCTGTGTTTGTTGGCAACACAAAGACTAGTGCAAACAGCGCCATAACTTGTTGGTGTTTACTGAACTTCTGAAGCACTTTGTCTTTGCTTGGTGTTGATATTTTGATGAAAAACATGTCTTGGACATTATGTTGAGAATATACTGTTTGTTTGACAACCCAGCCTGTACACAGCATCCACGCTATACTGCTGAATAATGTACAACAACACTAAAACCAGTAAAAATGAAAAGGAGGTACAGATAGGTCTGTAGCACTTCGGACTGGTCTAACCGTTGTTCCTTCAATAGAGCCCCATTTTGTTTTCTCTGCACAATTTCGTTTGTTGAATTGAATTATTATGTATGCAAAACACGGATGTGATGCCTGCTTAATTTAAATAACATATGAAACGTGTTTGTGAATTACCATATGACAAACAGAAGCTTTTCTTAGACATCTATTTGCACATAGTTTGTCAACATCTGGTGAACAGCACATATGCTTTCTCTCACTCTTACGTTGGGAGTGGTTCATGTCAACTAGAATGGAAACAGGAAGAAACTGAGGAAAAATAATAAGTGAGGTGTATACAGTATATAGTGAAATATTTACTTTTACTTGCTTAATTGAGTGCATTTCTTACAGCCTTCACTTGATCTTTAAATGCTTCCGGTGCTCTCAACATTTTGTAGAGCAGGAACTCCAGCCAATGTTATTTGCTACAATAAATCACATTTCTGCTACTTTTGTGTGGATTTCTTGAGCAGAATTGCAGTTTTATAGAAAGATGAGTCAAGTTAAGATAGGATTTAAATTTGGTTAAAATGATCAGTGGTATCATTATGTAACATACTGCAGGTGAGATATATAGTTGGTAAAAAAAAAAAAAAAAGCCAGCAGTATAGTAGACACATCTGTTGAACATTTATCTTTCAGAGGGTTTAATTCTGAAGCAGACTCCTTTGGGGCTTTTAGTCAGAAAACGTACCTAATTAAAATATATACAGACAAAGACGTTTCAAATTGTGAAATTTTGAGAATTTATTGAAAATGTACATCTAAAAACAGAAACTGGACTTGCGTACTTTATATACAAGCCTGTGGGTTACTTAGCATTGCCAGTGATCTCATACCAAACCCACATTATTTTTCCAGGGAAAAAAATATTAAAAAATTAACATGTTGAATGATAATGTTGTGAATTATTTCTATTAATTGTAAGAATCTAAACAGAAACAGATTATTCATCAAGTTTCAATGATTGCACTCCCTCTAGAGGTCAGTAACACATTGAAGAACCTCAGATGAGTAAATCTACTGTATTATTATCAATCATAAATCAACAAGGTTTTTGACTACATACGTCTTGTAGAGGTGATTGTCCATGTTCCTACAACAGACATACAAAACAGGAGCGATCATAATAATGATTATTACAAATTATAACGGTATAAAAATGCATTGCATACAATATTCAACATGTAAACAATCTAAGCATTGCTTCATTTTCTCAGCCTGATAAAAAAAAATTAAGAAAAAGGCCATAACACTTCATGAGCAATGTTTGGTTTCTAGGAGAGATTTTACAGGAATATTATTTCAAGATTTGGTGAAGTACATTTCTTTGGACAGTAACTTTTCCACTTTTTCTTCATAGTTTGTGTTCAATTGCAAAGTTAAGTGCTGTGCCCATAAGAGCCCCAGTATAGGAAAACAGTATCAGCCAGATGGTTAAAAATGGGGAGGAAAATGTAGGAAAACTTGGTTTTTACCATCACACAGGAAGAATATTGGCTTCTTAAATGTCCTGAAACCTTACCCACTTACTTAAAGGACCAGTGTGTAGATGTCAATGGCATCTAGCGGTGTAGTTGTAGATTGCAACTCACTCGCTTCAACCTCCCCTCCCATACAAAGAGAGAAACTATAGTCGCCACAAAATGCGCAAAGAAATTGCCAACAGTCCTATCTAGAGTCAGTTTTTGGTTTGTCCGATCTGGGCTACTGTAGAAACTTGGCGGTTCAACACAGAAGGCTAACCTGCGGTGTAGATAAAGAAGGCTCACTTTAAGGTAAGAAAAACATATGGTGATTATTCAGGTGATTATACACTAATGAAAAAAACATACCTATGAATATTATATTCCATTTCTGCCAATAGATCCTCCTGAAAAAGTTCTTGTTTAAGCCCGTACGAATACAGCCAGGTACTGAAGGCCTGATTGGCTATCTGAAGGAGCAGGTGTGCTATAAACTGGAACTAGATTCTACCCACTATAAGTGATATACTGCATCGCTTAAAATACAATTAGAAAATGTACAGCTTTACTTCTACCCTCGTTATTATCATACTGTAATGATTGCCACCTTTTTTCAAAGCTATTAACAGTTTTGTAAAACAACGTGTTGTTAAGGGCCTACTAGTGTGATTCCAGGCTTCACAAATATTAATTTACTGAATCCTCTTTGACAAAGAAAACAAAACCAATTATCACTAATACACAAGTGTGCCTTCCACGAATGCAGTTGTGTCTGTTGCCGTAATGTGTTCAAGAATGGTATGTTACATAGCCGCGTCCATTAGGCAGTAAAGAATGGCAACAAGTCATCCTCCGTGTCCTTTCAGTCTCATGTTCTCACTTTTTGCTGCGGTAATGGGCTGCCACCACCAGGTAGCTGTCAGGGGTGAGGTCCTTGATGTTGGGGGACTTGCTACCGCTGATGGGAGATGTCTTGCCCTCCACCCGGGAGATTTGGAGCATGCGGCATGGATCGTGTTTCAGCAGGTAGCTCTCAAAGGTCTCCCAGCCTCCACCCACACGCACCATCACATGCTTGTTGTGCAGCATCTGCGGAGAGAAATGGGATTATAGTGTCACTTCTGATGTCAGTGTGTCAAAGAAGAGCTTTATGGTTGTTGCTGAGCCCTTCCTTCTATAGGACTAATGTCATTTCACTGATTGAGGCTTTGGTTCTCAGGCAGAAGTTGAACGAATGGTTAAGCATGGCTTTGATGTACAGGGCTGTTGATTGATGTTGGGGGCCTCGGACTAGTTGACGTCCCTGGAGGGAAGCTTTCTCCATCTCTTACCAGCCTAATGCCATGTTGAGCAGGCTGTGGCCAAGAACAGAAAGACTGATTCATCTCACTGTTTGATGTCTGGAACTACAAGAGTCTATAGCCATGCATGCTCTGTGAGAGTTTACATGCTAAATGCTAATGGGGGCATGCTAATGTTTACCATCCCTGGCTAATTAGCATGCTAATTGCATAAACCAAAGTATTGGACACAGCAATTTTGACCTGATAATGGCGCAACATTAAAGGCAGGAAATCACCAAAGTTATTACAGTTTATCAGGGCATGAACGTCTGAACCAAATTACATGATAGTTCAAATAGTTGCTAACTTAGGTGACACCTGAAGGAAAGTCGGGGCATCTCTACAGTCCTTAGGATACATCATCAGGGAACCATGAATGTTCGTACAAAGTTTTGTACCAATCTATTTATCTTGTGAGACATTGAGATATTTCACAGGCTAAATTAACCTTTTTACCTGCTGGTGGCGCTAGAGGAAAAAAGTCAAGGGGCCACCAAAGCCATAAGGGTTTCATCCTCCGGGGACCATGCATGTCTGTACCAAACATAATTGCAATCCATCCAATAATTGCTAAGACTTTTCACTAAGAAAGAAAAATGTCAACCTGCTGATGGCGCAAGGGGAAAATTCATCAAAGTCAGTATGATTCATCCTCGGGGGATCCTGAAAGTCTTTACAAAATGTCATGGTAGTCCATCTAAATAGTTGATGAGATACTTCAGTCTGGACCAAAGTGGTGGACCGACTGACTGACATATGGACTGCCATTGCCATCCCTAGAGTCAGGCCACTAGCATGGCTAAAAAATATTTTATTTCATCACTAAAAATACAGTATATGATCTGCTTAACAATAAGGATAACATATAAGGAATTATATGCAGTGTTTTTTCATCGTTCAATCTGCAACATTTGCTTCAAAATTATGCCCCCTGCCACATCAGGGCACATTCTCAAGGTTGGGTACCATGGCAACATCGGCCATTATAATAAAGAGAAGAAGAAATAAAAGGCTCTGATATGGGTGCTCAGACACTCGCATTCGCCAGACACTGTGGACATAAAACATGTCCGCCTTATTACCCCCAACCTCATTAACATGGCATTACACCTAAACTAAAACAAGCTTTTTTACCAAATGCCCTTCTCAGAAGATACTGTAAATAAACAGGTTATTATTAAGACTGTTAAGACGCTATAACTGCTATAAAAATACAAATAGTAGAGAATGATTCAGACAAATACCAAACTAAATCGTTAAAAGGGTAAACTACCTCATGAGATTGTCACCTCAGTCTGCCACATATGAGGCTTCCTGCCCTCCAGCACTATAACATTCAACATTTATAAGCTTCTTAGAAGAATCAATCAAGAGGGCACTGGTGGGGCAGTGCTTCCAATCACTAGCGCCAGGCCTTCAGGCTTTGTGACTGTGGATTTAATGGACCTGTGTGATGCAGAGGGGTTTCAATCACGCTGCTTTGGGACAAGACCCTTCTTAGGGCTCATTCCTTCCACAGCAGCCCAGAGAAGGACAGAGGCCTGAGGGCTGAGCTTGGCCAGCACTTCTCACAAACACTGTGATGTTACTCTGGCCCCTTGTTAAGGCTACAACCACCTCATTTATTCCAGGAGCTGAGAAGGTCAGTCTCTCAGGCACATACAGATAATTGTGGAGTATACTCTTATTTGTGCTACCAAGGTGCTGCATGCCACTGTTGTCCTCGACGCTCCACAGCTGCCTACAGACAGTGACTTGGCCTTAATGTATTCATGCTTTTTCTCTGGAATTAGCTGCTATGGGATAAAAGCATCTGAGGAATTTTAATTAAAGCATATTGACTGTGAAGAGTGCTGGCTGAGAGACAGAGTAGTTGAGGTTTAAAACTTGCTTTGGCCTGTTCAAGTTATATATCTTACATACTGTAACTGTGATGAGTACACATGATAACAAATGTCATTTTTGTGTTATTTTACAACTGTTCATTCTGTCTACTCTGTGCATACAACATCTAGTGCATCCTTGATTTTGTTCCCTATTAAAGGGTTTTTTTCTGGGGGGGATTCTCATCCAAATTGAGGGTCTAAGCAGACATAGTCATATTCTGTAAGATATATATCTTGTAAAGATTGTAAAGCCCTTTGAGGCAAATTTGTACTTGATGACATGTACAGCAGACTGCATTGGATCAACACTGTGAGCTTCTCACTATTTGTCCTTGGTTGCTCAGCAACACAATGAAGACTGAAACCTCGTTGCTGTAAAGGCATCAAAGGATGATTTGATTTGATAAATATTCAAATGTATGTTGTTTTGCTGTTGATGTTATTCTAGCAATAAATTAGTCTTACTGTCAACACTAATATTTAAAAACAGCTTTATTCATTCAAACTATACAATGACTTGATGATTTGATTTGGTTGAGATTTGACATTAGTAGTTGCAATATAGTGTGCTGACAGCAGAGGACACCCAAGAGTAAACTGTCTTTTAAACGTCTTCACATCCTGAACGTACAGACGGCATGAATCACATTCTTAGAGGTGTGAATCCTGGTTGTAGGTTGCCAAGTAACCAGGATCCCAAGGGGACCGATGCTACTTCTCTAATCTGTTTAGCCTCCATTTGTCTTTCTCCACT